GCCGCGCCCCGTCACGCGCTCCCAGCACCCCGACAGCGCCGCCTCGAGCGCGCGTTTCCACTCACGGAGCTGCGCGGGGGGCGCGATCGCCCCGCCTTGGCCCGGGTTCTGTGGGGAGCGAGTGTCCGCGGCTGTTCGGCCTCGTGGCCGTTCGCTGGAGGCTGCTTTGCGCGCGGCAGCTGTCTTCCAGTCACCCCAGCGTCAAACGTGCTTACTCTGCACCGACTACATGCAAAGCACACGCGCCACAATCCTGCCAATTGAATAGGCGTTTATACCTACTACGCGTAAAGGAATGTGCCGTGGCTTTCTCAGCTGAACGGATACTGACTGTCTCCTGTGTCCGAGGTAGCTGTGCCCTGACCTTATTGTTGTAGGTATTTACTGAGCACCTGCTAACCGCAAATGAATGTTTTGCTGAAGCGTTGCCCAGTGTACTGGGGCGCACTTGGAAGCAGGGGCGAGGGACTACACTGTTTTCTGGCCCTGGAGGGCTTCAACTTTCCTGACCTGCATTTCAGCCTCTCTGGACCCTCCGGTGGTGGAGGAAGGGCTAGTCTTCCATTCTTGCGGGTTTTTCAGATGGAAGCAGGGCAGAGTTCGGAAAAGGCTGCACTGGAACCTCTTTCCAATTCGGTGTCCTTGCATTAGAAAAGGGCAGTTTCTGTGTGCAGAGCACTGTGGAGTTATCACAGGGAATCAAAAGTTAATAGGGCAAAGCTCTAATGCTCAAAGGGTTGGAGAATATGTAGTGAGGACAGAAAGACAGACAAAAGGACAATTAACTGAACAAGGAATGAGCCCATAGGGGAGGGGAGAGGGAAGCATGGAAGTTGGACCAGCTGGACTCTGCAGCCCTTCACTGCACTGGCACCAGGGGCCTGGGGTGGTGTCTTTAAAGTCCCCAAAACGCCCATGGCTGGGAACCCAGGGTGGAATCGCATGTTCTTCTTTTTGAGTCGGAGTCTCACTCTGTTGCCCAGGCTGGAGTGCAGCGGCACAGTCACGGCCACCGCAGTCTCTGCCTACTGGGCTCAGGGTTCCTTCCGCCTCAGCCAAGTGGCACCCCCACACCTGGCTAATTTTTTGATTTATTGTAGAGAGGAGGGCTCGCCAAGTTGCCCAGGCTGATCTTGAACCCCTGGGCTTGGGCAATCCTCTTGCCTCAGCGTCCCAGAGTGCTGGGATTACAGGTGTGAGCCACTGTGCCTGGCTAGAATCACATGTTCTAAGGGTTTTTCCTGCTGAGAGACTCGATACATCTCTTGCTCTAATAATCTTGAAATATTGAAATACACTGGAATTTGCAGATTGGAAAGAAGATTGTAGGTCCTCAATCTATTAGCAAATATTTGAGCACCTACAATGCTATATAGGTTGCTGTCAAGAAAGTGTACTCTAAAATGTAGTCTTTGTCTCAAAGAACTTTGGTTCTTGAGGTAAATATAGAAGATGACAACTTGGGAAGCATATGTGAAAAACCAGAAGCAAATTCCTCCTAGAGTTTAATATTAGGAAAATAAAAACTCTGACCTTATGGAATTGTGGCTTTACTTTTATCAGACATTGAGAACTCTCTGTATGTCTTGTGTGTTTATCTTTTTGTCCTGGTCCTCAGCCATTTCTGGTAACTACTTTATCCCAGCTTCTTGGTACAATGATCTTTTTCTTCCTAAATTATTTCTGGCCTCCCTTTAAAATTCTTTTTAGAAACTATATTCTATTATTTTGTGTGTGTGAACTTGAAAGCCTCCTTCAGATCTTTTCTGGAAATAAGCTCACTGAGAAAGATACATAGAAAATATGGTAAACACTAGATGAATGGACTTGTGGGCCCCCTGCTAGCTTGTACAAAAAAGCGGGGAGCAGTGGGGAACCCATGGCAGCCAACATTGGGAATTTACAGAGGAAAAAATGACTTTGCAAGAGGAAATAGGATTCCCGCGGGCAAAGAAGACTAACAAAGACTTTTCTTCCAACTTGAGGGAAATAGTGTTAGCAAAGGTGTCAAGGAGAATGAACTGTCTTCAGAGCACACTGGGAATTTGACGGGTCTTCATCTGGAATCCTTTCCATTCCTTCAGCACACAAGCACCGCTGAACATTTCAGTGTGTGGGAGACTGTGCTCTATGTCGGGTGGGGGCCGGCCCCCTGCACGGTTGGAGTTCGCGGTGATCCAACGGCTGGTGAGATCTGTCCGACTGCACGCGCCCCTACCATTCCTTCAGGCACCCCTGGAGCTTTCTCACCTGAGCCAAACTTACAGTGATCGACTCCAAGGCCAGGACCGGAACTCACTTTTTGCTCTGTGTCCTTCCCTCCCTGCAGACTGGGGCCGAAAGAGGGCCGGGAGTAGTGGCCCTTCTGTGCCCCCGTTGCCCGCTTCTTCCCCTCCCCCTGCCCCTCAGGGCCTGCTGTCCCCTCTGCCGCTCCACCATGTCCAGCTGTCCACAGCCTTCCGCTGCGTGAAAACTGGTCTCAGGGGAAAGCCAATCTGTCCTCACTCGCTTTCTCTTGAATACGAATGTAGGTCACCGTGTTCTCTCGTCCAGGGTCTTTGCACTCCAAGCCTCGTTGTGCAGCGAAAGGCCGTGCTTACCAAAGTGAGAGGATGCCGAGCACAGACAAGTGGGTGCTGGAGGCGGCTGGGGAGGCGAAGGGCCTTCCCGGAGCTCCTTGGCTGAGACCTCCACGTCCTCGTGGGCTGCCCTTGGCCAGAGTCCTCGCGGTGCTGTCATCCCAGAAAGCTTGCTGTGGTGTGGTGGTTGAGCTCTCCGCAAGCCACTTGTCGGCGTGGCCCTCCTGCCTTCCGCCCTGGTGTGAAGGTTCATGTTTATGGAGGGGATCCTAGCTTTTTTACCCACAGTGCCTGTCGTTTTAAGGCAGCGCTTCCCAGCTTGGGCACTCTTGGTGCTGTGGGCCAGATCATTACCTGTTCTGGCTGTCCTGTGCATCGTGGGATGTGTAACAGCATCCCTGGGTTCCGGCTCATCAAATGCCAGCAGCACCCTGTTCCTCCTCTCCTCAAGCTGTGACAGCCAGAAATGTCTCCAGCTGTTGCCAGGTGTTCCCCAGGAAGCAAATCACCCTTGATGGAGAGCCACTGTCCTGAGGGGTTACGAGGTATCATGCTGTATAACGACTCACTTTTCTGAGAGAGGTCTTATTTACCGTAACTTGATTTCTTATTTTTTAATAAAGGTGAGTAATACATGCATAATTAGCTTTGTGGAACTTTTCGTAAAAA